GGGGGGGGGTCGTGCCAGATGAGACACCTGAAGGAGGCAATGTGCGCCTGCAAGTAGACAACCCACCGAACACCACCGTGCACATCAGCGGAGCTTATAACCGCCCCTGCAACGTTTGCTGTGCCAGGCTCTACTGCGGCGCGAGGGTCGGTTTGGTGTATTCCGGACACGTTTTGTGGCCGCGTACAGCATCATGACGCAGGTAAGTGAGTTGACTGAGCATGTGAACGAGCCCTATTTCCAGTATGCAAATAAGTCTACTCCTACGAATTTGTGCGTCCAGAAATTGGACCACGTATTTTTTGAACGGCCAAGCACGGGATCAGGATCCGCGGTGGATGTCTATCGCTGCAATCACCACTAGACTATGTTGAATCGGGTTTGCTGCTGCTACTGTTCTAGATAGGAGTGATCATGACGATGCTCGCCGAACCTCCTGCCTTCTGCTACCGCCGCGCGTCGGAAGTCGCTGGAGTGGCTGGTCATTGGTAAGTATTTGCCAGGCGCGGTTTTATGGTGGGGGGAGGGGGGGAATCCCCCCCCCCCGTCGGCCCAAATCGCCCCCTGGGGTAGGTAAGCAATGCGTCCTACAAAACCCCTGAAAGTAGCCAACCCACATCATATCGCCCCCTCCGTCAGACGGACTTTAAAACCGCGCCTGGTATTTGCAGTTGTCATATCTGTTTCCTGGACTGGCAGACACGTATGGATGAGCTTTAAACGGTGTAGTACACGGAAAAGAAGGACGTCAGAACTCATAGATACATTGGCTAATTTTGGGGTAGTCAAGGAATTCGCTGTGGCGAGGTACCTAAGGATTAGTTGTACCCAAGAGTTAGTTACGGTCGGTAATTGTGTGGTACATTCAGGTTTGTTGTGGAAACTAACTCTATTGTCTCTGACATATAATTCTTTGGTGCCACAGCGAATTTCTAGACTATCCCCCCCAGGAGGTCGCAAATAAAGTGCTTCTGGGCTCGGGCAGCGCTTACAGTGTAGCCCGCCAGGGGCATTTTTCTTGTGCAGCTCCACGTGGTCCTGAGCGCCCACGTCGACCTGTACACGCTGCTCGCGCTGCAGCTCGACTCCGTCCGAGCCTGCGCCGTCCTCAACACGTGCATCGGCCACCGCTTCCAAGTGCGTGAGGGTGTCGCCGGTCGCCGGCCCGTCGTGTGGTGCCTTGTCGCTAATCACTGACCTCGCTCCGTACCCCTGAGGGGGTCTTTCTTCTCCAGGTCGAGGGTGGCCGTCGGAGCACGGCGCGCAGCGCCTCGCTGCACGCCCAGGTAAACGAGTCCGCCCGCCTCACCAGCATGCAGTTCGGCCACCTGCTGCCGCACTTCCTCACGGTGGGGCTGGTGATGCCCGTGGTAAGTACTCGTGAGTACGACACGCGTGAGCGTTCGCCCAGACCTGCGCCGCATTACCGACTGCGCCCTGGGGCCGTGCACTCCAGGTGGCCACCGCAGAGGTGATCTCGTCTGGTGGGCACGCGGACTCGTTCGCGATCGCCATGGTGCCGCTGCTTTTCGTCTTCTTCGTGTCGCAGTGCGTGGGCGGGCAGCAGCTCGAGAACTCCAGCGAGGGCTTGGGCTGGGCCGCCTACCAGGTGAGCGCTGCGGGCCCGGCCACACGCGGAGGTACTTCACTCAACAAAATCAGTGTTACACCCTAAAAAAAAATATACATTACCTGGAAAAAAATTGTAGAGGCAAAGTGGCATGGAAGTAGATTCGGTCGTTTAAGGTGGCAAATGCCAATTTAAATGGCCGTATCCACTTCAGTGCCACTTTGCCACTTCAAAATGTTTCCCAGTGTATTTTATAAATCAAAAAACAAAATCAGAAAAAAACAAGGAAAAATTATTTAAAAGAAGCAAAAAATTGGTGTACGCTTGAAATTTGTAGTAAATTGTGCCGTACCCGAGGCCGCACCCCTCGATGCGAGCGCGGGACTGACTTTGACGAAGCGGCGGTGCGTTGCAGGGCCCGTGGCTGTCCGAGGATGCTCGCGCCCGCCGCTTGCGCCTCCTGGTCATCCAGAGCGTGACCGCGAGGCCGGCCTGCTTCGGCGTGCCGGGCATAACTGTGCTCAACCACGCCACATGCCAGGACGCGCTGCGGATCTGGTTCCAGTACCTCCAGATCCTGCTCAACACCAACGGCAGGCGACGGCACGGCCCGGCGCAATAAAGGAGTGGCGTGAGACGTGACGAGCAAACAGTTACACCATTGATATGTCAAACCACCAAGATTCAAGTGTCTTTCGTCTGTCTGTGTGTCTTTGTGTCTGTGAGTCTGTGTCTATGTGTCTGTCTGTCTGTCTGTCTGTCTGTCTGTCTGTCTGTCTGTCTGTCTGTCTGTCTGTCTGTCTGTCTGTCTGTCTGTCTGTCTGTCTGTCCGTCTG